ATATTTCAAATTGAAAGTTATTTATGAAATAAAACCTTATAAAATCTGATAAATCATCTGTGAGTGCAAATTTTTAAATCTGAAATCTCTTACATTAAATTATTTCTGTCTTTTAAATTACATCCCATTATTTATTTCAATTTAATTTATTAATGTGTTTGTACTAATATTTCAAACTTCTTTGAAATACTTTTTGTGTCCTGAAAATGCAAAATATTTCCATAAAAAATATAAGCAGGTATACAAAATTGTTAATAACAAGTATTATAGGATTAATTGTTGATTTAATCGCTTTTAACTTATTTCATGTCTAAATTTTCTACACAGAAGTCTTCTGTCTAATTTTTATTATCTTTTCTCAGACAAATTCCAAAGACGAATGAATTTAAGTCTTGACTGTGCAAAACACAGCTTTGAAGCTAAATGCATTCTAAGAAGTACAAAAAATTTAACAAGATTTTGTCCCCCTCCCCAAATCAGTCATTTGAACTGCTCCAACCGTTCAGGAAAACGATAAACATTGTGAACATAAAAATCTGCCCTTTTTTATATATACTTTAATAAAAGGAAATGTGTTCCTTCTTTTAATATATATAAGAAAATAAACCCATTTTCCTCTCTAAACTTTTGAAAGTCGCCAACGCCTAAAAAATGATAAACTACGCCATGGTAGTAACCCGCCTTTTATAAAAAAGATTTTCTCCAACACTAATAGGCAGTTGCACGCATAAAAGACGTCATGGAGGATCTTATCAACACGACAAATTGGAAACTTTTCGACGAATTCCTTTGTGATTATCACAACAATATCCATAGCCTACGCACTCCGGATGACGTTGACTCTGTAGTCAAACAACCTACTGCAGATATTCAGAATGCATACAGAAACGCCACCAGAAAAATCCCTAGACATCAAATTACAGACAAATTACTATGCAAGATGAAAAATCTTATCAAAGACAAAAATAAACTTAGAAAAAAAGATTTCATATTACATGTGACCCTAATACCAAGAGGAGTATGAACAAACTCAATAGAGAAATTAAAAAACAGATCACTAAGCACCGTAAAGAGCTGTGGGATGAAAGGATATAGAGCTTTAATGAGCCCAGTAACTTATTTTGGCCTTTTGTAAAATGTCTAAAGAAAAAGCCCGTAGTTAATAGGCCAATCTATAATGATCACTGCATTGCTCTTACTGATATTGACAAGAGTAATATTCTTGCTCAACACTTTGAGAAACAATTCTCCCCGAATACTACCCCATACAATCATGAGTTTTGGACCGAAGTCAGCTCCACAGTTTCTGACTGAATAAATACAGACACCATGCACAGCCGACTTGAACTCATTTTGCCTCGCGAAGTCTTGAATATTATTAAGAACCTCAGAAATAGAAAGGCCCCAGGACTTGACAATGTGAATACTGTTGCACTGAAATGGCTCCTTTTAATATTATCACACGGTACACGAGCATTTTAAATGCATGCCTCTACAACAGTTACTTTCCGCGGATCTGGAAGACCGCCAAAATGATTGTACTCCCCAAGCCGGGTGTAACAGATTTAAATAATATTAAAATCTAGTAGTTTAAATAATTTAAATAAATGAACATTAAGGTATTTGTGAATGGCAATATTTGAAACCAGAGTCGAGTGCCTCGTGCGACTCTCGCACGAAGAATGTAATTTATTTTTAAATGTTAGAATATGTTTTCTTTTCTTGTTTGTATGTCGCCATTTTGAGTGCTAAATAAAGTTTTTTCTGTGTTCCATCATTGGAGTTGCTTCATTTCGTCAAAGAAGTATTACAGTCTTAATTGTTTTGGAGGCACCGACCGAGATCGAATAATCAGCTCAAAGGAAAAGAAAAATAGCTGAAGACAAGATCTTGGAACCGATGAAGGAAGAAAATAAAGCATCCAGAGATGTATTTGAAGAAGAAGTTAAATCACCAGAATTAAACGAAGAAAGATCTTCACGAAAATTTGAAAAACGATAAAGAAATTAATATTGAGAATCATTTTGCAATGCAGCGTTATCATCATCTTTCGGCTTTTGATTTAATATCAAAGCCGCTACTAATAGACGAAGAAAACAATTGTCGAAAGCAAATGACAAATGAATATTATCTGAAAGGCACAGATGAACTGAGGAAAGGCCTTTGCTGTGAATTATAGCCGAGGAACTGGTCCACCATGGAAGAGATCTAGGCGCCGTCAAGAAAAAAAAAAAAAGAAGAAGACTAATTTGAACACTGGTCCATTTTCTTCCTATTTAAATGTGTAAAAATATTTGTTTAAAACTTAAAATTTTCGGCCTGAAAATTTGGAAACTTATGAGAGAAGTTATCTTTTCTCTTTAAGTAATTGAGCAAGCCGAGCGTATAAACTTTCGAAATTTACAGAACTTTACCCTTCGGTAAAAGTCTCTCCGTTGGGGAAGAGGTTGTAACAGATTTAAATAATATTAAAATCTAGTAGTTTAAATAATTTAAATAGATGAACATTAAGGTATTTGTGAATGGCAATATTTGAAACCAGACTCGAGTGCCTCGTGCGACTCTCGCACGAAGAATGTAATTTATTTTTAAATGTTAGAATATGTTTTCTTTTCTTGTTTGTATGTCGCCATTTTGAGTGCTAAATAAAGTTTTTTCTGTGTTCCATCATTGGAGTTGTTTCATATTGCCAAAGAAGTATCACACGGGGAAAGATCTGACAAAGCCAGAAGGGTACAGGCTCATCAGCCTCACTCGGGACTTGAAATTTCCTACATAACCTACCTCGCTGATTGTACATAGTCCTTGTACATATGTAATTATATTTTGTATTTTATATTGTATTATTATCATAATTTTGTATTTGAATAATTTCATAATTTCAGTATCCCATGGGTTATAATTGTATATAGCTTGTATCATTTATTTTTTATCCATCCTTGTATTACGTTTAATATGTTTTTGAATTATTTGTCTGATGTGTTTCTGTTATTTATGCAACAACACAAACATACAACACACTATCCTCACAGCTCCAGAATCGTGCGCTTATCGTTGCTCTTGCCTCTCTAAGGCTTTGCGAGTCACGGTCGCCCCCTGTTACTACCTCTGACCTTATCAAACTGTCATGAAGACTAATGTCATGTGCCCACTGGGCTTTATTTTCTTGAGCCGGACAAACCGCACATAAGCGCGATATTTCGGCAATAACCGTGCAGACCAGACCAGACCAGACCAGACCTAGAATGTTCGCCTACGTAGAATCCTATCTTTTCGATTGGGTTCAAATGATGGATCCGACAATTTTGCGCATGCGTGGTTAATGTTGGTGCGAATAGCTCAAGCGGCTAATCGCACCGCTGTTGCGAATAGCATCGGCCTCAATGATAAGGCCTATTCTGACTTATGCAAGTTCCATATGGGGTGCAGCAGCAATTACTAACAGGAAACTTATCCAAAGTTTCCAAAATATTATGCTTCGGCACATCTACAAAGCTCCTTGGTTTGTTACGAACGAGGATATTCATAATACAGCCAAAATTCTGCCCTTAAATCGTTTTATACAGCAATTATCGGTTAATTTTTTCAAAAAGATTCCTTAGATCGGTAACCCGTTCTCCATTCATTGCTTATTTATCACCCAGGAATTGCATCATCTATAAAAAGAGCCTCTCTCGAAAGTGCGTATAATGCGTTACTATTTCCTAGGATGCGTTGCTATGGAGACGAGGCACCTCGAAGCTAACACTGAACTCATTCACTGACCCCCACCGAGTGAATTCGCTGGTCTTTCAGCTTCGCTCAGGGTCACTCTCTTTGTCCCGTTATAGGGCAGTTATTATTTCATTAAACCGTAAGCGTTTGTAACTTATGAGTAAGCACCTCTTTGTTCCCTGCTAAAAGGATTCTTTTACACAGATGTTTTATTTAAACTCAGTGTTTTTAAGAGAATTTTACTTTATTACTATTATATCATAGCACTTAAAGCTATTAATTTATTTATCTCATGTTTCTCCTCAGAGGCAGTTCTGACCATATCTCTTTAAATTTAACTCACCTAACGAGTTCCCCGCTCCCTTCCTTCCCCAAACCCGTATCAATATCGCGATGTGAATGGCCTTTCGTGAGTGCTTTTTTTCTCGTGTTGTTAACTCTTCAAGATCATTGATCAAGGAAATATCGAATCTTTACAAAATGCATGATGTAACCCTTCAAAATTCATTCTGGCCTTCTACTCGATCTCTTAATTACTAAATTAATTAAGTCCTTTAGTGTGTTTACCTTTTTTTCACTGTGAAAGGCATTTTACCTTTTGTTATTTTGACAATTCGACATTAAATTTTACCGAACCCTCTTTTTGACGATAATTATTTAATCTTTGATGATGTGGGGATAAAAGCATTAAGCCTATAAACATCCTAATTGAACCTATCCTTGATATCTAGTTAGCTATGTTAATAACATTCTAGCTCTAAGGATATAAACACTGCATTTCTCTTCTACATATCTGTTGTTTACAGATTACAGTTGCCAATGGTTATTTATCTGTTGTTTCAAGTCAATGGTTACTTTTTGTTATGGGTTTGTCTGCACTCTATATGTTTGTTCAATTTCAGTATTGAAGCAGTACTATAGAAGAATTAATACTATCTTCCAGTTCGCCATAGCAGTAATAAACCTGTTTTCCTCATCTTCAAAAAGTTCTAGACCTCAAAGGCTCCTTCGAAAGTATGGCTCGTACTTTTATTTTTTTCAAGACATTTATTTTCTTTTTGCCTTGAGTCTGAAGAATTTCTCTTGACATGAACATTTTAAAAGAACATATGTTCGTATTTGAGCAAATACTGTGTTAATTAATTATCCATAAATATTAATCGCTGTAATCTATAAATGTCAGTGAACAGGATATTAATGATTTTCTTTCAGTAACAAATTATGCAAAACATTCGCAAACGCGCGCTTGTAATTGGTTGACGACCGTAACTGTGCGGTATTCTTTAAAATTGAAATTTAGTAAACTGAGCGGGATAAAATTGGTTGTCGTATTTGTTTAGTTCTGTTGTCTTTCATTTACCTGCAATAAGTAGTCAACTTGGAATCTTCTGAAATGGAAGATACGAAAGGCCAAGATGAGTGTTCTGAAATAGTAAAAGAATCTCCTTCAAGCTCTAAAGATTTAAGCAAGTAAGTTTAATATACATGAAACGTTGGCGTTATTTTTTAAATCAAAAGTTTTACTGTTTATTCTAGTTCAAAGTACTTGTTTCCTTTTTATTAGAGAACTGTAATTTTTTATTTATTTGAATATTCTATATAATTACGCAAGAGTTTGTTTACCATATTGTTTCCCTAACACCTATCAATTCATTCTAATTAAATTTTGTTTTAAATACTTTTTTCGGTCATTCCCTGGTATTTTTTTTAACAGTGTTCGTTTATTTTCTTTTCTTCCTCTTATTTCTTCCTCCCTGTTTTCATTTTAATTCCACAATAATTATTTTTTTTATGTACTTTAGAATAATGTATTGCTTTTTGTTTCCGCTTCTGTTTTTGAAATTTCTTGATTTAAAGAGACTTAACTTCAGAAGATGGCTATTTTATGTTTAAATGATTTGTAGTAATTTTACATCATTTTAATTTACCAGTAAGTATGTATTGTTATGTACTTATATTAATTTACTGCTTTTCAGTTTTTGAAATTTTTTAATTTAAAAAGACATAACTTCAGCTTCTGCTGCTTTATGTTTAAATCATTTGAAGTAATAGCTACTTTTGTATGACTGTAAAGAAGGTATTTTCTAAATAATGATGCTGAAATTTTTTTTTATACTGCCTGCAATTTTTTTTTGGGGGGGGGCTCATAATGCATCCAACATAGTTAGGCAATTATCTTCCCTTTTTTTTTTTTTTTTTTTTCCCTATTTCTCTACAGAACTGAATATTGCTGTTTAACTGCTTAGTTTTTTTTTTTTTTTTTTTTTTTTTTTTTATTATTATATAAATTCATCTAAAATTTTCAGCACCCATGTTTGAATGTGTCAAATATTATGAGCATGTTATCTGCCCTCGATACAAAATCAAAAAGCAGAAAATTTTGCTGCTTGGGGGCACCTGTTATTAGTACAGATGAGATACTTTATTGGCAATACAACATTTTTTTAGTTGCTTCTTTTAAATACTTGAAGATTTTTCTTCTGAAGAAATTAAGCTGATAACTAAATTTAATAGTGTAAGGTTTATGATTTGTTGGAGCATAACTAAAAAATTTGTTGAGTCACTTAATATATAAATCATGAAGTCCCAGAAAAATGAGTTTTCTATTTTATTATAAAATTTTATTGAAGTATGCAAATTTTCATTAAAAATCTATAGAAATGCTTAAATGCTGTATTTTTAACTTCAGCTATACTGTTTTGTTTATACTGGTTTTTGGAATAAAATATTATCCAGAAAATCCTGTTTGGAATAATGCTATGCTGAATTTATAGCTATCTCGGTCTGCATTATATTTTTTTCGTTTCTGCCTGTATGGCTGTTATTTTATATACCCTCCAGAAGATTATAAATTTTGGTAATTGCATATATGCAGTCTCATTTGGTAAAAGTTTACAATTGGGTGCCCCTTGTTTCATTTATGTAAAATCAGTAGCTTACAAAATAATTTTGTACTTTTTATTTCCTGTGCAAGCATATAATGTGAAGGTTTTTAAGGTTGATCTTTAGATTATGGTAACTTGGAAATTTTTTGGCAACATATCTCATGATCTCTCATTTCCCTCACACAAAATAATGCGTAATCGGAACTGAGTACTTCTGGTACTTCTCACATTATTACCAAAGTCCTAGGTAGTAACCTTTATAGCCTCCAAAATGTCGCCAAACTACCAGTTACCATATTCCAAAGATAAGCTGTTTTTAATATTAAAAATAATGATAGCTTCTGTTGTGTTGGCATTTATAAATCATAATTTTGCTATAATTTTCCTTGCGCATTATTCAGCGTTAAAGGATATGTTAGGTTTGTGTAAATTCTTTTATAACTAACTTTTCTAACTTGGCAAATTATACGAGCTAAAATTTTGTCTGTTATGCATAATCTTATCTTTAGGTTTTTTTTAAGACAGTTGTATTGATATGTCACTTCTAAATTTATAAAGTCATCACTTACAGGTGAAAATGACAAATATTTTATTAATTTTTTAAATTGTTGAGTGTATTTTAAGCACAGTGAAGCTTTTTTAAAACAACCAGTTGTGGCTTTGAATGATTTCGGACTTTTATGAAGATGGTCATTTTGGAGATGACTGTTAGTTGATTGTGGTTATTGATTGTAATGAATTCACCCATTTGAGGCATTGGAGTCATTTAAACTGTTAAAGAAAAATATTGAAAGTGTAATGTTTACCTTTAATAACCTTATGTTAGCAAGGTTAAGAATTATTTACAAAGATTGCAAGTAAATAGATGATTAATTTCATGAAGCATTTTAAAAATCTAACAAACTACATAGTTGATACCAGATTTTATTGTATTGAAATACAGTAGATCTCTATTAATTAATAAATATCACCTCGATATTAATATCACTTGGTTAATGTTATGACTTGGATATTGTTATTGAAAGCAGTGAAAGTACTTTGCTTATTTTGATCATTAAAGTTTCAACAATTGCATGAAGTTAATTTCCCTTCGAATATTTTTTGTAAGCCTGTACAATATAGATGCGATATAGTCTGCACGGCTCTAGTGTAGAATTGGGTGCCCCTTCGATTAGCGATTATTTTTTTTAAAAACATTTTGGCGATGAAACCTCATTTCTGATTAACCATGATAGTTTTAACTTTGTTTTAGCTTCCTGATTTTTTTTTTTAAAATGAAAACAGATTGATGTGTACAAATTTAAGGCAGTGCGCAATGCCTAGTTTGTGCAATTCTGGGATTTTTTTTCAGTGAAAACAGATCGGTGTGTACATGAACACAGAGTTTGTGCAATTCTTTGACCTTTTTATTTTGGTTTTGTGTAGTGGCCATCTTGAAATTGTGCCTTCCTGGTGCCAATGGCATCAAAAAAGAATTGCCAAAAAAACTAGGGGCATCCAATTGTAAACTTTTACCGCCTACACTTCTCTTGTAGTGGATGGTTATACAATTTTGATACATAATTCCTAAACCATTAAAGAAATCAGTAGTCTGAAATATTTTGCATTAGATGCCATTTAATGTGATCATGGTTAATATTATCACTTGAATATTATCTAATAACTAAAGTCCAGCTCTTTTATATATGAAAACATGGAAAATGCATTGTTTATTGTGATCAATCACTTGGTTAATATGATCAAAATATTATCCAGTAATTTTTTAAAAAATTGCTATAAAGTGCCCAAATAAAGTAGATTCTAAAAATTGCCCCCTTCAGGGGATCTTCTTGGTGAGACGAGTGTCACGATCCTGGGGCCCTAGTGATCTATCCTCTTTTCCGTTTCCTCTCCTCTTAGCTGGAACTGTTTCCCTTACTTTCTCCCTTGTGGTTTCTCTCTTCAGAGTTTGGGGCTCGTCACGAGAAACTGGAACAACCCTTGCCTCTAGTTTTCAAATGGCGAGAAAACTGCCCACGTGTATGCCGTGCATGGAGACCTGTGTCGCTGGAAAGGAGGTTTCTGGTAGTTGAGGGGCGAGGTACTGTCCCCAACACACTGCTTTGGCCTCTGCTTTGGCCTCTGCTTCAGCTAAACAGGAGGCAGCTTAGTCGTCCTCACGGGTGTCAATCGGCTGGTCACTAGTCCTTGTGTCAGTGGCTTGAGGTCAAGCTCTCGGGAGTACCTGCTTTCAGGAAAGCTGACTGTGGGACTTCAGTTTGCGTATAGACCCGGTTAACCCTGGCGCAGGATTCTGCGTCCCCTTGTTGGACTCCGTGGTGGGTGGGGCTGCCGGGTCCAAATTTTTTTTCTTTTAATATGGATAAATCAGAAAATAACCTCTAAAAAAAAGGAAGAACCAATGCAAATCCTAATATTATACAAGTTTCGAGTATCCCTATAAAAGACAAAGCATCTACAATACCACGCTTTGTAGTAATGAGCAACTCTTCTGGTGAGCTGAAAAAAATGTCTAATACATAAATATATAATAGCTAGTGTTGATGAGCCAAAAAATCTGAAACGTTTACGATCTGGAGATATACTTATCGAAACCACATCATCTATACAATCTGCCTCTCTTCTTGTGCTTACTAAAATAGGACAAATAGATATATGTGTGTCTGTCCACAAAACCTTGAATAGTTGTCGTGGCGTTATCTCCGAATTCGATCTTTCATCTGTTTCAGAAGAAAAATTCGTGCAGGAACTTGCGTCACAAAATGTATGTGGAGCTAGGTGGATCAAGATGCGTAAGGAGGGTAAGTTGATTAACACCAGACACATTATCTTGACTTTCAACATGCCTAATCTGCCTACTAGCATCAAAGCTGGTTATTTAAATTGTCTTGTGAAACCCCATGCGATGCTTTCAATGCCAGCGGTTTGGTCACACTAAAATGTCCTGTCGAGGTAAACGCACATGTGCCCGGTGCTCTGGGGAAGGCCATGACAGCGATAATTGTACCGCTGAGCCATTGTGCATTAATTGCAAGGGGGCACATACAGCATTCTCACGCATTTGCCCTAAGTGGAAGGCCGAAAAAGAGGTTCAGACTATCAAAGTTACGAAAAACGTTTCATGTGCAGAAGCCAGAAGAATAGTACAGAGTTCTCAGCTTCGATCAAATACTTCTTATGCTAGCGTAACTAAATCAACGAGAACAATAGCTTGTCAAACAATATGCAGTCTCCCAAAAAGTTCACAAGCAAAAACAACAGGAACCTAGAAAAGAAAATTCTGATAAAAGTGAATCTGCCCTATATCCACACCAAATAACATCTAAAAATAAAGAAACAAAATCTGAAAATAAAAAATCGGAAAAAGTAAGGAGCGCTAGCAATAGCTCTCTGCAAAGTCTGAGCTTCGACTCGCAAGATTCGGATGGGATGGAAGTGGAAGAGGGACTCAGTGTCTCAAGGCATCTGCTTCTCTGCAAGTCTAAGAAAGAGCACCAGAAAGATAAGCATTCTTGATGGCTACTTTCATTTCCTGGAACTGTCATGGCTTCCACCACGGTCTTGATAACATAAAAGAGCTAATCA